AACTCAAAGCCACAGAGAAAGCGCCTGTCTCTCTAATTGCTGTGCTCAGAGTTATCCAGCACAGGGCTCAGAACTCAGACTAATCCTACTTTCCATATTGCAGAGAAAAGCAAACTAGTTCATGTCCAGAAAGTACAAAGGGAGGAGTGATAGCTGGCATACAGGAGACAGGGTTTGCAAGAGGACTTGGATAGGTTTGGGACAATGGGTGCTTACTGGAAGGCACTTTGCAAAACTGAAAAATGCATGTGAGGAAAACTAACGAGAAAATAAAAGAAAAAGAAAATGTCTTGGTTAAGTGGGAAAGAAAAAGAAAGAACATTAAAAAGTCCTGGCAAAGAGACTGTCCAAATATTGGAAGATATTGCAAAGCACTCGCTTCTAACAAAATGCTTACACTTTATTGATCCTCCTCTAGAGGCCCAGAAGATACCTTTCCACTGGAAAAAGAGACAGACAAATCAGTGGCAGTACCTGTGTTAAAAGTGCCAGTAGTTTAATATACTTGCAAAATAGCAAGAGGTACTTGCAACTGGGAAGGGAATGGATTATTCGAATACTTTGTTTTTATCTTCATGTATGGCAGCCCTTTACATTTATTTCTCATGTCACGAACAGCTTAACTGATGCCAAAAGTTCAAATAGGCTGATTCTGAGCCTGGCTCTCTACTCCTTTGTGACTAGTGTAGTTTCCGTCAGCTAAGCCACGGATGGTAAAATGCTGTAAAATCCACTCACTTTGCTCCCTCAGCCTCGGTGTAGGGTTGCAGTGATTCAGACCCAGCGGGTATCATCCCAGTTCCAATACAGATAATGTGAAAACTCCTAATAAACTCTCAGGGGCATGCTAATTCTTTGAGTACAGTGAACCTCTTACTTTAATTTAGTTTACTCATAAGTGGGAACTTCCTGAATGTGTCGATTGTGGGCTCAATCCTGCAGCCCTTATGCAGGCAACATTCTCATAGAATTCTCTTTTTTGATTTCAGTTGAGACTCAAAAATATGTTCCCTTATAACTAGAAAAATATCACCTTAACAATACTTATTCTTGAGGGAGAGCAAGGTGGACGGGCTGAAGAATAGCGTGAAAAAGAATGCAGATTCTGGAGTGCAGGGATGGGGAGAGGAAGGTGGGGAGGGAGGCAAATCCATACTCAGATACAGTAGTGGTGTGCCTGTGATGGCTGAGGGGGGAAAGGCAAGGAAAATATGTTTGGTCACATCTTTTCTTGGCAATTTAAAGTTGATCCAGTTAAAGATATGACCAGACAAACCTTCCTTCTTCATAGACTCAGCACACTTTAATTACATGTAAATCAACTTCGGCTATTTTTTTTCCCTTTGGGTTGTAATCCATTGTGCAATATTCGAATGAGGCACAAAAGACAAATTAGCTCGTTTTCAGATGAGGAAGCTGGAAAATCATAAATTTTGACACAAAATTCATTTTGACCCCCCAAATCCCATTTTCAAACAGCAAAGGACTGTAACAGCATGGGGCCCCAGCTCTCAAAATCTCCTCAAGCAGATTATCTGGGAAGGAGGTGCACATGCCATATTTCACTCAACAAGACTGTTAAAATATTTAGTCCAGTATTTACTGGGCAGGCAAAAATAAGACCAAGTCAACTATTTTCTAAGGAGACAACATTCTTTTCAGGCTTCTTACTAATCTTGCCAATTTCCAGCTGCAAGAACAGTACACTGAGAAAATTAAAAAAACATGTCTAGGTCAATTTTAACTTTTTGGATTATTGTCTGGCCTACATCTATGGAAAACGAAAAAGATTTATTTTTCCAAGTAGCACTGCCCTGATGCTAATGATGATTTTTGTGATTTATTTTACATGGAATACCGCTGCTTAATTGCATAAATGATCTGGCTTAATACAGGTATGAAAAAGAACCCAAACCAAAGACCTGACCAAGGAGGAATTTCACCATTGTAGCACAAGCTCCAAGAGTGCCTGGACAGCAAACCAGCTCTTGGCCCATCTTTTGGGAACTGTTCTCAGGAGACATTGTACAAAGGGGGAGAAGAGCACAATCTGGCCCCAGGTCCATAAACTGTGAGTATCACTAAGCCCATGGAAGGTTGGAGGTCTATAATAATGGTGATATTTTGCCAAACTAATATGAACTAATATGGAATATGGTACAATCTACTCTAAGCACCTAAAAGCAGCACATCTGGGAATGACATCATGACATTTAGTCATGAAAGCTCCCATGGTACTTTTTGAAGAACGAGTATTAGTTCTTATGTCCCAGCCAGATTCCAGTAGTTACAGAAATTCATCCAAAATTCCCAAACCAATTATAAGTGGATAAAGAATTGTCTTCGTGTCCTGTCCTAAAACAGTTCTGGTGAACTATCCAATAAGTGCTTTTTCCTTTGAAATGGAGGCCTTTCAGTGGTGGATACAATGATTCCTATATATAGACAAGACCCGTGTTTTTCAGCTACCTCTGCTGGGGAGAAGAGGACTGGCTGGGAAAGCTTTTCTCTCAGCACATCTACGCAGCAGCAAGACTGCAGGACAGTACTCAAGCATTATGTTGAGCACAAGAAGATGCCAGCTAATGAACTATGCATCATTCCTGCATTCCAAGGACTTATGTTCTGCCATGTTTTATTGCTCTCCTTGTTCTCAAGCTTTTCTTTGCAACTACAAGCACTAGAAAATATATTTATTTCATTAAACAAATGACTCCAAGAGCTAAGTCTTTAGAGAAAGACTCACCATACAACTGCAAGAGCTGGCAATGCTGTATGAACCAATAAGAGAAGTCTGCTATATCTGAAGAAGAGGAGGGAGAGGAAAAATGCCCTCTCTCTCCCCTGTATCTGTTGACAGCTTAGCCTTTATCAGAAACTCATTGATGCAATTCCCACCTCTCCATCCCTCGCCTTCTGGTCCAATTCTGGGTCCACTGCTGTGTGCGCGGAGGGGCCCCAGCATGCCCCCCCCAGCTCAGCGATCAGCTGTGGGGGAATGCCGGGTGCCCCCAGACCCAAGAGGCACCAATTGCCGAGCTGGAGGAATACAAGGGGGGCCCCCAGGGTGTTCCCTGGCAGACCCAGGAGCGGACCAAAAGTGCTTCTGGTCCATTTCTGGGTGTGCTGCCGAGCGTGCTGGGGAGCCCCCCATGCTCCTGTGGGACACTCCATCTACCCCAGCATCTCAGCATTTATGAGCCGCCTGGTACCTTGAGGTGTGTAGAAAAAACATTTAAAGCTGTGTCTGCGGCCAAATCAAATCTTTCCGAATCTCTCCAAATTGATTTGGAGGGTTCCAATTCAATTCAGAGAGATAAAAGGGTCTCCTGATTTGATTCGGATTCAGAGATTCGGCCACTGAATCGGGCTGAATCTCTGCCAAATCGAATCAGCAACCAAAGCTTCGCACAGCTGTACTGTCTAAGGCAGGATCATCCCTATCCAAATACATTATCTAATCTATTAGCAAAACTACCATCAACACCGACCCAACCACAACACATAACACCTTAACCTGCCACAGGTAAAGCAAGGGGACACTGGCAAACAATGTTCTGCGGCTGCAAAGGTTGTTAAAATATACCTCCATTACAGAGGAGTAATACCACAGTCCATACCTATCTGGCCACAGAATTCCTTCGAAACCCCAAAGGCATAAAAACCATGAAACCCCTTAAACACAGGACACAATATTTTCTTTTTCCAAAATCCAAGCATCCAAAGCCATTCAAAACATCTTCTCAGAATTTTTCATTAATTGAATCTCTGACGCTAATTTAGCCCTTAGAAATGGATGTTTTTCTTTATGCCTGCAATGGTTAGCATTGGACTACACACAAATAAAAATGCTCTGAGCAGAGGATTCTGGGACCAGTACACATGGCCCCTGCTGTGATATTAAACTTTAGGGTATATGCTTGCTAACAGTGAGATGCAGTAGGTTGTCGAACTATCAGAAACAAGTGGAAGAAGTTTTTATTTACTACAAATGGACAGGTCATAGAACTGAAACAGCAGAGGACACATTAACTGACTCAACAAACATTTTCTAGCTGTCTTTATCATTGTAATTGCATATTCCTATCAGAAATTATCCTGAACAACGTATCTTTTCTTTACATTCAGAAGTCTTTGGTGTCTTATTCTAGACATTCAGGAACACCACATTGCTCTGTACAGAGCATACCATACTTGCAAATGCACACTCGCATAGCTACAAAAGTTGCAGTTGTGGCACAGAAATGACAGCTGCTTGATGGTACAAATATCCATACTGGAAAAACAGGTGATAATAAAATCTTAAAGCATATGCAAGTACTAAGCAACCCATTTATGGTTTGCCAGCAGCTGTTCTAATGACCCCACCCTGCTTGCCACAGGTATTAATTTAAAGTACGCTACCCACCCTAAACTTCCACATACAGGCATGTACCCACAAGCGTGCTGGCTTTTACCCACCCACCTTCCCCCACATACATTATCCCAACTTCTTTCAAAGTGTTTGAGCTACTCTAGACCAGGCTGAAAATGAATATAGAAAAGTTCAACTAAATCAGACTATGAAACCTCCATTCTGTATAGAAAAAAAAAGGAAAGGAAAGGAAGAGACTCTGGGAGAGAAGTGGGGGTGGGGGGGAAAGAATTATGAAAGATGGGTTCTAGTTTCATGTTATCATTTTACAGAATGAGATTTCTAAGAGAGACTAAGAGAAAAACCATGCTATTAATTAAATCTTTTTACAGTCTCGTGACTTTTATCGTGCACTTTTTGTTCTGAAAATTCTAACATAACTGTGCAGAATTACATAAAAGCAAAGTAAAGCCCCTCCTTTCCCACCATAATGCATAATATTAAAGGGTGGGGAACAGAGATCTATCTATTCATGGGGAGCATATTCTCTATCTATTCATGTAAGGTGGTCTTTTTTCCCCTTTTTTTTATAACACCAAAAAAGAATACAACTAAGTAGAGCATTATTGCCCTCTAAAATACATACTTTTCACTGTACCTTTCTACTCTGATGTCATTTCTTGCCTCCTCTGAGATGGCCTTGGCTGTTACAGCTATGGCATCCTTCTCAGGTACAGGAAGGAGTGAGTGACAGGGCTCAGGAAAGTTGCTGAGGTTATGGAAAAAGCAGTGACATGATTAGTTAGTAGGAAAGTGGTCATTCTAAATTCGTATAATTTCGAATTAGCATGTATATCATAGCAGCAATTCAAAAGTGATGCAGAAATCTACAAAAGAAAATAAAGTTTGTTAACTGGTTTAAGTAGCTACTGCTTTACTTTGAAAATAAAAGCATTCTTAGGCTCCCAGAGATGTTCTGTACTTATGCAAACTCAGATTAAGAAAGTTATGCATCCAAAATCCTGCCTTAGTATAGAGGTAAGTGAGACAAACGCAATAAAGCTAGCTACCTGTCATGGGGGACACTGAATAATATCTAAAATCAAAAACAGTGACAATCTGGCTAGCATATATCATGCACATTTTGGACAGTATACGTTTGGTAACTTATATTAGACTAATCAAGATTGTGCAGTAGTTGATTTTTTCCCCCTCCTTCGTACTGCAGCCCACAAAGAGAGCACTGCAGGCCTGATTTCATTTGATCACCTAAAGGTGGGCAAAACATATCATTTTAAGGCTCCTAAGGAGCTTTTGCTTGCCTAACTTCAAGAAACCAAGTGTGAAAACTGGGATCCATGAATACCATCATTACAGATGAGTTAAAGAATCAACAAAAAAAAAAAGTAAATCGGGCTGTTTAAAATCAAGCTCTTCACATGCCTTCAAAAGTCTCTTGCTATATTCAGGCTTTAAAAACAATTTCAGACATTACATTTGGATCAAAAATAGAAGTGGAATGTATTCAAGAGCAGCTAAATGAGGGCCATACTTTATAATTACCTGCCCTAGAAACAATGGATTTATCTATGTAAAGTTTCTATCAACCAGGCTACTGGCAACTCTGTTTTATACAATTAATTTCAAGTAAGTACCTTTCAGCTGATATCCTGGCTTCAGCAGTCTGAGATGAGCTTTTGTGATCCAAATGCATTTCGCTCTGCTGATTTTCAACATTAACATTTGTACTGGCAAAATGCTCCTCTTGCTCCATCCCTGTGATAGTCTCCCAGGGATGTGTTTTTGTATATGTCCCTTGATCTTGAATGCTGGCTTGAAAATCTGTGTTTTCGCCAGTGAATAATGCCCCTGCAATACCCGTTTTCAGGATGTCTCCTTGTTGCTTATCACTGTACATAGAAGCTTCTATCTCTGCTGCGCTTAACGTGGTGTCACTTTGTTCTTTTACATCTCTCTTATTCACAGTGCCAAGTGCTTTTTTAGAGTCATCTCGGGAACGATCAACATGGCTTACTTCATTTATTAAGTAATCTATTAACCCATGAACTGTTGATTCTTTTTTCTGCTCTGGATCTTGAATGTTGTCTAACATTTCCAGGCATTTTTTATTTTCCAAAGCATCCGGCATTATTTGTGTGTTGTCTTCAGACTTAATGTCATGCATAAGATTGCTGGGGAGCGGTATTTCCTGATTTCCACTGGGTGACATAGGAAAATCATTCTTTTCTACTTCACACTTGCAGAAGTCTCCAGATGCTTCTGTTGATGCTGACATGTCACAAGTGCCCTGAGCAGTGCTTGGTGGTTCACTTTCCTTGCTTTTCTTCTGCTCATTTGGCATAAGTTTCTGGCATTGATTTCCATAGAGTATTAGATCTTCTTTAACTAAGACTGGTTCTGCATTAGCTTGCCTAATTAAATTACAATTCTCTGCCTCTAGTACTGCAACACTTTCCAAATCCCGCTCCTGAGCGGTGCCTGTACGTTCTGAAGAGGTACCCGTTTTAGTGGGCTGCTGGTTATTGTCATGAGACACGATGACGTTCATAGGTGTTGTTTCATCAAATGAGGCAGATTCCAGCATTTGTACCTCTAAGCTCACCTGAGCTCCATCATCAACACTGCTAATACGTGAGTTTTCTTCTCTTTCCATCTTTTCACTGTTCGGGCTGTCATTTAGCTCGAGCAATTCAATTGGAGACTGCTCGACAGCTTTAAAACCATCCAATTGGGAATCCTTCTTTTCTGAAAAGGAACAGGGCTGCTTCTGTTCCTCAATGTCCTGGACCTTTGGGTGCAACAACATATCTTCTTGCTGTACAGATTTCTGTTCAGGAACTTTGCTGGAGATCTCTGAATCTACAGGCAATTCTTGCCCTTCTGTTTTGAAGTCACTGTCTTGTCCTGTATTATAGATGTTTCCATCAACCGTTTTATCGATGGGTTGTGAAAAGCTCTCAGCACTTCGGCGTTCTGGTGCATCTTTAAGCCCAGAACTCTGCCTGCTGTCTGCATGGTTTTCAGATCTGAGCTGGGGCAATTCGGGATTCAGAGCACCATGTACCGTTTTCTTAAATATGTTGCTGATGTGCTCCCTGAAGTCTGGCAAGCTGGCACCAAAACCAAAGGTCTTAGAAATGGGAACCTCATGCTCCCTTTCAGAGTTTTCTGCAGACTGTTTGGAAATATCTGTGTCTGGCTTGGCTCCGCCGTTAGCCTCTTTCAGAACATTTTCCTTTTTTTCTGAACTCCCAGGCTTTTCTAAGATCTTAGTGCACTTGTCATCTGTGCAGATATTTGTTGCAATTTCCTCATTACATTCTTCTTGTTTACCAACAGATGAAAGGCTCGAAGCCCTCTTTCCTAGGGTAGGCAGACTGAAGAGAGACTCTGCTGAACTGTCACTCTGCTGTGCTTTGAAGTTTACATCACTTTTTGTTCCTTTAGATTTAATTGCAGATATCTCTTTCTTCAGCTTCTCAAAATTAAACTCTGATAAATTTCCTGAAAACTGTCCTGCATCAGCAGTCTCAGGTGATGTTAAAATGTTCTCCCCTTCAGGCTGGCAGCTTAGGGTATGAATAGTTGTTTCTTTCACAGAAGTATTCTCCACCAAAGTGTTTTCTAAATGTACCACTTCAATGCTGTTTTGAGCAGCTTGGCTTGTATGCGGTGACGAGCCCTCTAAGTGTCCAGGGAGAATATCCTTGCTAGCATCTTGCAAATCAGAATTGGCTTCCAAGACACTTTGGCGTGTTGTAACTTCCAGCCCATTATTTAGCGATTCGCCTGCAGTACTATCATCCTTAATGTTTAAAGGCTCCTGGTTTGCTGTGCTCTGATGATCAAGTGCAAAGACTGATGTGGAAAGAAAGGGGATTTCTGTTAGGCAGCTAACTGGCTGAGGCTCATTCGGTGTTTTTTTAACGCAGTCTAATTTACACAAAGCATTGTTGGCAGCTACTTCCAAGTGCTCCTGTAACGTAGGGTATTCCTGTGCCCCTGAAACTGTATCAGCATGCGGATGGCTTATTTCTGTGGCAGCAACATCCCGTTCAAAATTTGTTTTTGTGCTGTCATCTTTTTGCATGATCTCTCTATCAGAAGTCAGCTCCTTTGCTGTTTCCAGATCTGAGCTTTTTGTTTCTACTTGTATTTTTTCTTGAGTTTCTGTACTGGGTATTTGAGTATCGTTTTTATCTTGCTCAGGACCATTACCAGCATGCGATACTTTAAAATCAGTTGGCACGGTCTGTGGTATATCAGTGGCATTTACTGAATCCTGTGCCTCTGCAATAGAGTCTAGAGCGTCAACCCCACTTTCACCACTTCTGTCTGTTGTCCTGACTACTTGTAGATTTATGTCGGATGCTTGGGAAAATGGATCATTCTGACATGCTTCGTCCTGGTTACTAACTGAGATCAAAGAGTCATTCTCCTGCTCGGGCTTGCCTAAGGCTTGCCCGCTGACGCAAATTTCTTCTGCCTTTAGATCTGTTTTAGTTTGATCATTGTATTCTTGCAAAGTAGTCACCTTTAGATCTAAATTTTTCTGCAAATGCTCACTTTGGCCCATATTCCTCTGCACTCCAGCCGTACTCATATCCAAGTCATTTCCTTTTGTAGCATCAGAATGACATTTGAATGGTTTTGCCCCTAACACAGGAGGTTCTGTCTGGATGCTGCCTGTAATATCTAGTGATGTTTCTGATAGGTCCTGGAGGTCACTCTGATAACTTTTCTCCAATACATGCTCATGTTTTGGAGCTGTTGCCTTACACTTGTCTCCATCCTTAGCTATCACAGCTGTCAGATTGCTTTGGTGCTCCTTCTTTTCAAGTCCCACATAGGAAGCATGCTCCTGAATACTGTTGGTAGCGAAGTCCGTACTCTCTCTTTGCTCTGCATGTAGTAGGGTTACTGAAACTTCTGTCATTTCTTGCATTTCTACAGTATCACTTTCTAATGGCTCTGGGCAGCCACTTTTGTCACACTCAGAGGGTCCTATTTTGCCACTGATTTTGCTGTCACGCAGTTCTTCTATATTCCCTTGTGTTTGCTGCGAACTGAGCTCCACGGTGTTTGCTGCTGCTTTGGGGGTTTCTGGCTCAAACAGTGGCACACTTTTGTTCCTTTCTGCAGCCCCTTGTTCCTGCCAAACTTGCAGTAGTGTATCAGATTTGCATGCACCTGTCAATGCCAAAACTTGGTCATCCACAAAACTTTTCACGTCCACTCCACAGTGCTCCTGTGCAATTCCATTATTGTCTTTAATCTCTACAGTACTGCTTTGTTCAATAACATTTACACGTATCTGCTCAGGATCACTCTCGGGGACTTTAGTTACTTGATTGTTCTGTTCTTTGTTTTCATATACATAAAAGGCCTGTCTAATTTTTACAGCAATGCAGTCTGCAGTTCCTGCCAATTCACATAAGCCCTCAAATTCAGGTTCTATTTTGGGTGTTTCTACATTTTCTTCAGACCCTCCATTGCTTTGGAATAGTTTGTGATGCTTAGCCTCGTACGCTGACTTCAGTATAGTTTCTTTAGCACCAGCCTGTTCCCAGGATTCATCCTGCTTAGTCTGCATAATGTTATTGTTCTCAGGGTGCAGGGGCAGTGAACTGTGTGCATTAACTAAGCAAACCTTTTCAGTCATCTTACTGCCTGGCACGTCTAAACTTTTGTCTTCTTTCTCACTGTTAACATGATTGCAACTCGGCAGGCTCTCTTCCCTGGGTAACTGTGGTGCTTCCAAAAGGGGAAAGCTGCACTTATCCTCCAAGTTATGCATGGCAATTGCTTTATCTTTGCTCACTTGTTGAAGTTTGCAGTGGAAATGGAGTATCTTGTCTTCAGATACCTCCAAGCCGCTTTCTGAATTCATAGGCTTTTGCTCAGCCTTTTCACCGACATTGGTTTTTAAACTCTGTTCTGAAAAGTTGATTTCTTTGGAAACCTCACCCAAGCTGGCATCCTTCATGTCCTCCTTGTCGCTGTTAATAAAGTTTAACAACAGCCCTTCTGCCTCATTAAACCCTTCAGGTAATCCCCTGGTTTGGGCCACTTGCGCTTCCTCTGCTTGGTCTTCCTCCATAAAGACTTCATTTTTTTCTCCAGGCACTGTGGTGTCTGTTTCTTTGAGATGCAGTTCTGGGGTTATATTCCCAGAAGTAAAACTTAATGAATCATTTTCCGGTGACCGTCTTTCATCCACCAAGGTGGGACTCATAATATTTTCTGTGTTAGAAAGTGTGATGCTTTCTCCAGACACACTCTCAGGTTTTACGATTCTGTTGCTGTTGCCTTGATCTTCTCTGCTACCAGATGAAACATTTAGTTTTTGCTCTTCATCCACAAGAGGCAATGGAGGCACATTGAAAGGCTCAGTGTGAACAAACAAATCTACCTTGGGAACCTGTCTTTCAAACATGGGTTTGGGTGTTTTGGAAGTTGGTTTTTGTCCATTGTGCCTGGAAGGGTCTTGACACTCATTTACCAGCATGCATTCCCTTAAAGGATCTTCTACCTTTGGTACCAGGAACAGCTCTGGAAGGTTAAGAGCCAGGCCTGGCATTAAAGTGCATGCTTCCAATTGCTTCCCATTGTTTTCAGAAGGAGGTTGGTTTGATTCAACCCCTTTACCTGCCGTTATATCTCCACTACCTAAGCTGATAATATTTCCAAGCTCAGTATTATCAACCAAATTCTGAGCATTCACAACTGCTCCATATTTTTCACTGTCTGGGCCTTCTGTTGTTGGGTGATTTAGGATTAAGGTTTCCTCTTTCATTAACAAACCCTCTCTACCATCTGCGTGCTGTCCACCTAGCTGTATTACATTCTGCTCCTGATGACCTACTTCCAAAAATCCCGGCTCCTCTTGAGTGGTAAAATAATCTTCTGCGGCTTTACCCTGGGGTAATGAGATGACATGTGGCTCCCGCTTGTCACCCAGCTGCTCACTCTGCCATAATGGTTGCAATTCACTTGAATTTGCTGGGATAATGTCTTGTATCCAAGTAGCTTCTGTAGAAGGGCTGGATTCCAAGCTTGCAATTTTTGGATCATCGTCACTCTTTTTGAGAGGATAGGCAGTGGTATTGTCACGTTTTGGGCCACTGTCCACAAATAGGGCATGTGCTACTCCTAGGTCTTTGTCATTCACAGGGGAAAACACTATTGCACTGCTATTTGGGGCTGGTAAATCATCACTGCTGCCTGTCAAATCAGCTGCAACATATTCATTGGCACATTCCGCAAAAGGCATTGAGATAGGCAGGCTTCTCTCCTTAGCATCTGCTCCTGCAGCCTGGATTAAGAAGCTGGAGCCAACTTGTTCTCCATGTTCTTTCAGGGTATTGCTCTGGCCTGTCCCCGCTGAAGACACTGCACATGAATGCGGATTGAGTAAATCTTCGGCAGTGTAGCTACAGATGCCTTCATTACCGATGCTGCCAATAATGGAAATGTTTATTCATTTCATGTCAGAATAGGAAATGGAGCAAAACATAAAAACAGCTCATGCCACTGAAGTTTCAAAGCCATGCAGCACATGCATTGAAAAGCTAACAACCTGCTCTCAAGAGGCAAGGTGTCAGAGAGACACGCTGCAGTTGCTCAGGCATTACATTGAAGCTTACATTTCTCAGCTTTGTCTTGTTGCCATCACGCTTATTGTTACCTCTCCAGAAATGCATTTAATAAAGGGGTTCCCTTTCAAAGTGCTACAGAGAAACAAGAAAGTCCTAAAATATTAAAAGCTAAGGGGGAGGGGGAGGGGTGAACCACACCACAGAAATGTTTTAATTTTTTCTAGAAAAATCCTATCAGCGAAGTTTAAAAAAAAAAGGTTGTGTAGCATTAAAGGGGTGTGATGTCCATTATCATCACCATTATTTCACAGTGCTTTGCTTAATCTTCAATTAAGCAATAAAGGTCCCATCTGTCAGACACTCACTTCCTGGTATAGGGCTTATTTTGTGAGTTTGGCAGTTCCACTGATTTTATGTGAACTATTCATAGAAAAAAGCACTACACCTGCTGTAAAGAACAGGCACGTTTTATGACGAGGTCAAAAGTCACAGTACATAGAGCTGCGCTGTCATGAAATACTATACAATTTGCCAGGTCCTTCAATGCGTATAATTGATTATGGTATACATTTTTCCATCAAGGAAAGGAAGGTCATGGCAGAAGAAATAAAGCAGAGAGAGAGAGAGAGAGAGTGTGTGTGTGTGTGTGTGTGTGTGTGTGTGTAAGGGATGGGGTGAAGAGTGTGTCTATGATTCTTCATCCATTTCTTTCCCAATTGACTAACTATGCTCATTAAACAGTAATCATCACCAATATTATCACAAAATGGTATCAGTAATGATTCAAAAGAAATGTCATGCTGCTGAAAGCAATTGGAAATGTGTGTTTGGATTGGGAAGAAAACAAACCTTTTTTCTGCTCAGAGTGTGTTAATGGTGAACTCACGCATAGTAAAAAAAAAATAGCTTGTACTAATATTTAAAAGTGATATGCTGTGCTCCACAAGTTCAAAGCCCTGCACAGACTTTAAAGTCTGATTTCCTGCAAAGTGCTCAGCATCTTCTGCAAACTGGAATGTGAACTGGACTCTAAATAGTTCATCTTCAGAAGACCTGTGAGGCACATAAATTATCCCCACTTTGCATGTAGACCACCTGAGACAAAGCATGAAAGTGAGTCATTGGCAGAAGCCAAAGGTAGTACTCATCAATTTCTGGCTTTTAGACCTGCACTTAGATCAGATCAACAACACTGGGGCTCAGATGACTATTGAAGCAGACAGACAGAAAACTTGAGGTTGTTGTACCGTACACGTTGCCCAATGTAATTCCAGTTACATTATACTGTGAATAGTCCTGTTAGTAAAATAGGTTTCCTTTAAGAGTGCTACATAAGCCAGGATGCCATCCTTCCAAATGACATCATTTCCTCAGATCCCTAAAACCAATCTGACTTTTGCAGACTATTTTGTTTTGTTTTTTAATTGGGCTTTGAAATGGTTATCCACCTGAGTGGTATTTGCTCAAACAAGACCAGATGGGTTTAATGTGTAACATAAAATGAGTTTCAACTTAACTTGTAAAAATGATTTCTCTACTGTGAAGTCTCCCTGACAATCTTCAGGTTGCTGAAGATCCCTCTAAATACTTTGGTTGCTGACCTTAATGTTGATATAGATAGCAATGGTACCTGGGATATTTCACAAATTTACAGAAGTTTAGGGCTGGAAGGGACCTTGTGAGATCATCAGGTCCAGCCCCCCTGCTCCAGGCAGGAAAGACTGCTGGGGTCAAATAACTGGGGTCTTCATCAAGCCAGGAAGTATCAGCATGCTCTTATTGAGGTAGAAAATTATTTTCATTGATACAAATTTATTTTATACTAAATACAGCCTGGGTGGGGAGAAGTGGAGCAACATCCACATAAATCTGGGCCAGAATCAATTTTAATTTTAGCTTTCTGTTCTTTTAGCAGCACAAAACCTCCTTAAAGGTGCTAGAAATAGAAAATAGAAAGCATGGTGGGACGGCACCTTAGGGCATTTGTACACATGCTTTTACCACAGTGCTGGGTGCTTTTAAAAGCATCAGGTGCTGTGGCACATACATTTGTATAAATGGTGACATGCGCATCAGTGCTAAGAAACTGGCAGCAGTGCACTTTTGAACTAAAACACATCAAAAGTGCACCACTGCCATTTTCTGCGTGCTGACATGCATTTCTCCACTTGTGCAACTGCATGCGATTAATCGAGTCTGCTCCGATGTGTTGGATCTCAGGCGCATCGCAGCATGAAAAGGTATGTGTATAAATGGCCTTAGTGACTAATTAGTTCAGAGAGTGATTAGCTTTTGTAGGCCAAAGCCTACTTCATGAAAGCTCCAGAATAACTTGGCTAACTAGCAAGAAAGTAAAGAGAGTCCTCAAGTTGATCTGGCTGTATTCTCTGCCTCAGCTTCTGCATCTCCCTTCCGGTGTCAGCAGCTGCCAGAATGGGTCATCAGGACAAGCACAGCATCTGACAAAGTAGGTTGCCATCTATGAAAGCTCATGCCTCCTGAACCTGTTTCTCTAAAGTGCTTTCCTGCCTTGCCTTCTGCCTCACTGCAGACCAACAGTGCTAACAACCTCTGTATTTAATAGGAGGTGTTATGTGCCTATGGTTCTGAAAGTTTGTTCCTAGAGAAGTTACTTGTATCATATAAAAACAAACAGGAAAAGAGGTTTCTAAATCCATCTCCAGAAGACTGTGCATGCCTACAGCTTTAGATAAAGCGCCATGAGTTAGAGCCCCTCCTCCCTGACCTGACAGATGTTCACATGCTGGGTCACAGGAGGGCTGGAGCCTGCCTGCACGGGGAGTGGCAGCACAGAGCTGCTGGCTGCTTTGAATGGCCAGAGCAGAGGGGGGAGCAGAGTATAATGGAGCCCCCTCACCTCACAGCCCTCCCCCCCCCCAGGTATGGGGAGGAGCCGAACTCTACACTTCAACTCTGGCCATTCAAAAGCAACTGGAAGCTCTGTGCTGCTGCTGTTAAGAGCCCCACATGGGAAGGTGGGAGAAGGCAGCCCCCACCTTGCCTCATGGGCCCAGCTTGGCTCCCTCCAATATCCCAGCTGAAGTAGCTGGGGGAGGCCCATGAGGCGAGGGGGCTCCATTTCACCCTGCCCCTCCACTCAGCTCTGGTTATTCAAAAGCAGCCCGCATTTCTGTACTGCCCCTCTCCTCCCTGGAGCCTTCCTGGAGGGAACACAAGTTCCCTAAGGAGCTCTGCTTTAGAGTGCCTTAACCTAATACTTCATTTGGCCAGGGTTATTTTTTCATGCAGTCGCCATTTTAAAAGCACTCTGTAGTCATGCACGTGTATTAAGTCACAGCTACAGAGCACTTTCAGGGGGCTAATTGTGCAAAAAATTAACCCTGTGTGTAAGCGCCCTGTATGAGAGTTAGATATAGAACACAGTAGGCGCAATGGTTTGTATAACGAATGTTGCCAACATATTAACCCAGCTTTATTAGCCGACTTGCAACAAAGCAAAGTACTTAAAAAAGTTAATGGTGTGGAATCAAAAATAAAGAGTCTGATAAAGATAAAGAACAAGGGTGCAAACTGTAACTGATTCCTGCCATTGACTGGAGACCCTAGTGGTGCATGTGACATCAGAATGATACCTACAGATGTTCACACTGTACAAGCCCTAGCAAGTTCAGAGTGGGTACATCTTCTTGAATAGGGGTTATGAGTTTGCGATCTGTCTAGCTGCATGCTCATAATAACTTTTAAGAGTTACGTTAGCAGACTCATTCCCCAAAGAAGATTTGCAGCAAGGTAGGGAGGGGGGAGGGAAAGGGGCAGCAATTCTGCAATCAAAGATACTTAATACTGTGCACTCATTACAGTACACAATATCCCTTTGTGATCCTGGTTTGGACTACATGCCGGATCTTGTTCATTTCTTCCAGGTGACACACACGATTTGAACGCACATTTTAACCGTTAATGTACACTAAGCAGAAACAGATAGGCAATGCTCATATGTGCTATATCAGTAGGGGGATAACCTGTTTGGCAACTGTGCCACAAATTAGCCACACACCCTCCGAGTGCCACTCTGATCCCCATCCTCTATCCAATCAACTTCTCTGCTTTCTGCTCCCTGTCCTGTGCTCCCTGCCTGATCTGCTGCTCTGTTTTCTGCTCCCAGTCCTATCTGCACTGTGCTGCTTGTCTCCTCCACAGTCTGCTGCATGCCACATAGAGAGGCTGACCTCACCATGTGTGAAACACATGCCACAGGTTGGCCACGTCCATGTTATGGACGTTGACAGCTTAAGTGTCTGGGTTTTATATGGCATAAATGTCATCTTCTACCCTATGTCAATTTGTTAATTTTATTCTTGGCTTTAATAAAGTCTTTAGTCTAAAGCAATTTTAAATAAGGAGCAAGAGGCAAATTTGAGACATTTTTTAGACATTATTTGGAATACAGAACATAATTCCTTGAATTTATTCACGGGCAACTTATAGCAATCTTTTCTATTTTACATTATCCTGTTCTTCTTCCAACAAGTTTATCAGATCATCAAGGAAGGACTGCAGATAACTCAGTCTTCTGCTACATATGAGCCTATCTCTTTGAAAACGTATTAGGAATCAATAATTACCCGGAGGCAGGATGCATTTCTAGCCAATCTTTTCACCATATTTTGATATGATCAAAATATGTTCTCTCCCTGAAAGTCTTCTCAAATATGGAACAAGTGCACATTGTCTGCTGGGATTACTTGGTCTATCTTTGTACAGAATTTGTACTTGCTTGAAATCCTTAAGGAAAAATTAATACCAAAGGGTAGCATTGAAAATGAGCACATACAAATGAGAAAATGTAAAAGAGCAGAGGAGTTCTTGTAGTTTTAACAAAGCTCAAGGCCTATTAAGTCATTTTGCTGAGGTTAGTTGTTGCATGTACTGAAAGATATAAAAGGCTGTAATCCTGGAGATGTAGGTTCATGTTGAAATTTATGTCTAGGAGTGTCCCTTTGCACTTTGTGTGTTTGATGGGAATTACTCAAACGCTTCAAGTTAAGCACATGTTTAAGCATGTGCAGTACTCAAGTCTAAACTATAAAAAGATTTGAAGTTGTTTTGCATAAGAAATAACTTTTAAAAACATAACTTGCCTGCAGTCAAACATTTAAAGTCACTGACTACAAAAGTTAAAAATCATGTAGTCTGCTCCAAATTTTAGAAGTAGGATTGGCATGTTCTTGTAGTCACGATGGTCCAGGAAAGATGCAAGAAGCAAGGGGTTTTTGTTTGGATCTGGTGATACTATTTGCTGAAC